ATATATATATATATATATATTCGTGATAAAAATAATTATTACTGTATTGATCTTTCTACTGATATCCGTACTTATATACATATATATTGTACATTATTAGTTATATTTATTTTTACATATGTACATTTGTAGTTATACGTGCGGGTCGAAAGAAAAGTAGACTTACTCGGACGCGTTCGTGCGACTTGAGAAACGAGTCCGTTAGATTGATATCACACTTTTTGTCTCCTTCTTTTAAACAAAACAATTCATTTATGTTGCCCTCATCAAAGGAGGGCTGCCGCGACCAAGAAATATCTGCAAAGGGGAACCTCTCAGTGAGGCGGCTCTTCATCTACAGGAACATCGTTGGTTTACAACAGCAAAAACAAGTGTGAAGAAAAAGAATTAAACAGTGACATCATAAAAGGACAAGCAATACTTGTTGCTTGCTTGTAATGACGCACGCCGAAACACTTGAGCGCATAATAAAATACTCTAGACAGAGAAACAAAAAAATAAAAGAACTAAAATACTTGTTCAGCCTGTCTCTTTGTCTACAGACTGCTTACGTAGAGTGTAAATAATAATGGGAGATAGAGGAATATGAATATAGAAACGAGTATACATATATATGCATTTACCGTTATGCATTCCTGCTCCTTTGTTCATAGTGTTTAATTAAATGCGTGCAAGTACTAGAAACGGTTTGTCAGAAAGACTTTTAGTGCTTACACCTTGTATATTACTGCTCCTGTTAGTACTAAGCCTGCCTTTGCATTTCTGCACTTATCTTCCATAATATTTATATGTACAAAAAGCAAATACATATGTATATATAGACACACATATATATATATATATACATATGTTTACATGTTTTTATCTTACAGCTTCTGCTGCTTGTGTAATATGATGCAGCGCGAGGAGTTCTGTTTGTTCGTCTTTGCTTTCAAGTTGAAAAGGCAAAGGGTCCTCAGGGCCAACGTTGCGGCCGTAAGGATCTCCTAACCCTTCATCGTATATCGCTCTGCAGGTACAGCAGGGAGAACAACAATCAATAAACACGTGCACTAGCAATACAAGCACCTATATATATATATGTTTATATATATATATATGTATATTGTATACGTGCATATGCACATATACCTGTGTATGAATGTGTACTTTCATATATACATAGATGCATGAATATATATACAAATATTTACAGATTTATCTATACACCTATGCACCGATAGGTATAGATTATATTTACTTAGCTAGCGGTACATCTAGGTATATGGACTCATATATATGTACGTATGTAGATGCGAAGTACAATGGAGATCAACGAGTAAGCACTAGATAAACAAAAAGGCAAAACAGCAATAAGAAATGCAACACTGCAAGAGCAGCAACGACCAGAGAAGGAACCTCCAAGGAGATAAGATACGCAAAAGAAGCAGCAAGCGAACACATATAATATACCACTGTAAGCAGCAGATAGTCACATAATAGCATTAAGTTGTATAGTGTCACACGCAACATCTATTTGTCCTTTTCAAAGGCACACACATAAATAGCCACTGCCAATGATAAATAAATTAAACGACAAAACCGTTTATTTATTTTATACAGTTATTTAAATGAGGATGCCTGTACCTGTTGCTCTGTTGCACATTTCTACGCCGCTTAAGCAACAAATGCAAACTGGAAGGAATATGCATAAACAGTAAATTGCTTATTTACTTACAATATATATATATGCATATCATCTATTTACATATTTATTTAAATGACCACGATTTACATGACTTGTTGCGCTAGACTAAACGCATCATGTGCAGCGGGCCCGCGGGCCGATTGATTTTTCGCATTTAAGGTTTTTTACATCTTACTCGATGCGCAGAATTCCTTTTGGAGGCTCTTTTATGCTTTCAATGAGCTTGTCTGTAACTCTATTTAATCCTTTTTCCCGTTTATATGCAGCAGTCTCTTGCACGGACGAATGCAGAGCCTGCCGATGCCTCCATGAGTCACGAAGATAAGTTTCCAACAAAGTTGTGTCAATAGCTTCTTTTGTATTTAATCGTTTTAAATAAAACGCATCAGCAGAACAATTTGAAGAAAAATCGGGCAGTTCCGCCTCCGATTCGCCTAAAGAAGATCGCTGGACAGCAGCTTTGGAAAGAGAGGATATCTGCACACAGCACAGCAAGATAATAATGCGAGTAATTATGATATACAGTAATCATAATCATAGCGGGTCTAGTTCCAATATGTGATTAAGAAAATACTCATGAAGAATTTGCGGAAACAGGAAAACACCATTTTCATCACGCAGTGCGGATAATAATGAAAAAGGACAATCATATATAAGCAAGAAGGCAAGGAAATATATAAATATAGGTGAATATGCATGAACCCCTGTGGCGACCGGCAGAATATTCCACATATTTGCTATATTAAGAAGACAGCAAATATATATGCATATATAGTAAGCACATAGACAATGAATAAACGCATGCATATATATATATATATATGTAAGTACGGTAAATACTTAACAACTTTACAAATATACATAATAATATATCCACGTGTATACATATATATATACATATGTGTATATTATATTTTCTATGTGCTTACCATAGCAAATATATATAATATTCTGAATACATATATATATATATATACATAAATTATGGACGGAATCGTACATTTATATATTGTACAATTGTGCAGATATATATATGTATGTATGTATGTATATGTATACTTATTTTTACATAGTATACTTGAGCTGATATCAACAGGCTGTGCAGTCACCTGCAGTGGAGAGCCATAAAACACAATTGGACACAATGCAGCAAAATTTGCAAATCAGAAGAAAACCAGAAAACAGCAAAAAAGGAGAAAGACAAGAAGATATTTCAATACCAACTTGTATGAGGCAACCTACCGAAGACTTCGGATCAGGTTCAGTCCAGTTTGCGCCTGTCACCACAACGAGAAAAACAAAAAAGATAAAACCAATAAATAAACTATCACTGTTGATTTAGTATAGTGCCTACTTTTGTTTCGTTCTGAATGGAAGGCAGCACCACTTTGAAAAAATGAAAGGGCATAATATTCAATAGAAAAATGTTATTATAACAACACTTCTAATACTGGCAACAACTTTTTTGAATGGCATTCATAATTTTAAAAGAATAGCAATACACTAGTAATGATAATAATAATACTCATAATAAAACATTATGGCAACAAGACCAAGTATTTTTCTACATTTCTTACATAACATATCCATGTCCTTCGGATCGAAATTTGTTTGTTGCTCATCTCCTGTATTTGCTGTTCCTCTTCTAGGCGTCCATTTTCTGTCTTTCGCCTTTGTGTATTGTAGCAAGTAGTCTTTCTTTTTAATGTGGGGCATAACTTTCCAGTGTTCTGCTGCTGTATCGTCATCAGCGAACCGCTGCGGCATTCGTTTGTCACCTAACAATAGCTGCTGCATATCTGGGGCCTTTACTGGGTTTTTCTGCTGCAGCAGCTGCTGCACTCCCTCCTTCCTTTCTTTCTTTTCTGCTGCTTCTGCTTCTTGCGTTTGCTTCTGAAGAGCAGCGAGCCTGTTTGAGTTAGCAGAGGTTTGTTGGGGGAGGCCCACCCTGCTCTTCTTTTGGGGCTTCTCTTCCATTACGCTCTTGCTCTGCATTTCTTTTCTGTCGTGCAATGTAGGAGGTTGTTCATATCTCAAAGAGGAAGAGGGGCCCGCAGAGGGTTCAGCATCAGCAGCACGGTGGCCCACCTGCTCCTTCGCTGCTGCTTGGTCTACTTCCCTTTTCTGCGCTGTCTTTACACCCGCCATCCCTGCTGGGGTGCCATTGTCTTTACTGAAGGCAGAAATGCTATCTTTGTGTACAATGGAGTGGGTTTTTGTGTCTGTTGTAGCTGCGTTCTTTTCGCTGTGTAGACGCCTCTCCCCCCTATGCCGCACTCTTTGGGCATCCTCCACAGTCAACAAACTCCGCGAGGACTTTCTGGTTTTCTTCGCTGCTGCTGCTGTCGTGGAGGTGTCTCGACCGGGTGCCTGATGCTGCTGCTGCTGCTGATGCTTTTGCTGCTCCTGCTTCATCTTGGCGGGTGGGTTGCTGCTCGCCACTGGGCCACTACTACGGGAGGCCCCGCGAGGAGGTTGGGGGAGCGGCATTGTGCTGAAGTCTGGGAAGTTTTCACAGCAGCATTCAACACCTATAGGGGGAAAACACAAAAAAGGAAGAGGGAGAGAAGCAGCAGCAACTCATGGGCTCATCCGTGTCTCCACTGGCTGCCTCGGCCTCCATGTGCAGCAACGTCGGTATCGGACGTGGTTGACACAGTGCGAGAACTGTGAACGTTTGTTTTGTTCTTGCTGTTGCTGTTTGGCTGCTGCTGCTGCTGCTGCTGCTGCCTAGCCGTGTGAGAGGGCAGTCGGCAGCGCGGTTGAGTGGAGAGCAGGAGCTGTTCGTCGTTGATGCCGTTGCGACTGAGGAGAAGGGAGAAGAGGAAACGAAGTCATTATGTAGGTTTAAGGCGTCGCATGCGGCAGCATTTGTTGGCGCATGACGAAACGAGTGGAGCAGCAGCTGCACGCGAATGATTTCGGCTGCAGCGCAAGTGGTTTAATTGGTGCCTGTCTTTCTTCTTATTCCAAGGGAGTTAAACATACAAATAATATTGAAGAGTTTATTTGAACTTTAGTCCAGAATAACGCCAGTCCGCAGGCACAAGCCGCTCACACTCCCTGCTGCCGGCGTTCAGTGCGTGCGACCGAGGACAGAGCAGTCCTTCTCTCAAACAAGGAGGAGCAATACAAAACCCCCTTGCAAATACCATTTAAAGCAAACCAGCAACTTCTAAAGTTTGCAGGACTCTCGGATTTAATCAACAAGAACAACAGCAGCAGCAGGCAGCAAGAACCGCCGCACGCTGTGAAAATCGATGCTAGCCGACGGACTATAGACGGAAGCAGCTTCAGTTTGCCACAACAAAATCATAGGAATAGACAATAGCTTGGAGCTTTTAAACGGAATAGTAGGCGAACAAAATAGCCAATTCGCTGAGGCAAACAAAAACTAGAACACAGAAGATTGGCAAGAAAATTCAGTAGCTGCACTGCAGCCTATAGTAGACCGCGCCGCGGCTGTGCGTGGATGTTACCAGAAAACAGTCGCCATATTTATATTTATTCTTATATATATATATATCTACTAACTAAACCAAATTGTTGTTTTCTTCTCCAATGCAATGAATTTTTCGCCTTCATCTGCCGGGAATCGAACCCTGGCGAACAAAGGGCCGCAACTGCCGGGGGGAGCAGCCGACCCCCGCCTGTCTGCTGTTGCGTTTCATCTGTTGATGTGGCCAGTTTCTTGTTATTTGCTTATTTATATTTTGAGTTTTCTTCCTCTTATCACTGCCTTAAAATGACTCCACTGCAGGGCAACCTGTGCCCTCCGCCTCGTACAGCAACAGTAACGATGCCTTTCACGTGTGGTGTAGCAGCAGCGTCATGATACAACCCTTCTCTTTCCTCAAAACCAAACAGAGCAGCTGCTGCACCGGGTCATGCATGGCCTGCCTCCTCCCTCACTGCTTCATAGGCCCAAACTTCGAGGGGCTTGTCGGTAGGGTCCCGCCTAAGGCCCCCTGTACGGGGGGCCCCTTCAGGGGGCCTCCAGGGCCCCCTGCTGACGACCCTATTCAAGGCTCTTTTTCAGCTATGCCCTTCCCCTTGCCTGCTGCTGCTTTGCCGGCTCTTCCCTCGGAAGCCTCAAGGGGGACGCCCAAATCAGTGAACAGGGTGTCCTTTAGGGGGGCACCCAACCTCCGTAAGGGCCCTCCTTTTGTTAAGAGGTTCTTTCTCCCGCTGCTAGCGCTTCTATCGGTTTTATGGGTTGGTTCATGCGAAGCAGCAGCAGCATCACCTGCTGCTGCTGCTGCTGGCTGCAGAAGACTCTGGGGCTTCACGCAGCGGGTTAAGATGGAGTTGAGAGAGCGGCTCGCAGGCGAGGGGCCCCCAGCAGCATTTTGCTGCTCCTCATTCTTCTGCCCTTCGCCGCGCGCACGAAGAACTGTTGCTTCTTTCAGCGCCAGACGCAACGTCATCAGCGGCACCAGATGCAGCAGATGTTACACCAGTGGCACCAACATCTGCTACAACAGCAACAACAGAAGCAGCAGCAGCAGAAGCAGCAGTATCGAACCTGCGTCAATGCACTGCAGCGTATCGCTGCTGCTGCCTTTGAGGCCGTTTGCTCCCCATGGGAAGAAACAGCGAGGGGTTCTCCTGAAGGTCTATGAGTTTCCCTCTTCTTCGCCCTTGTGCGGTGCATCTGCTGCTGGTGCTGTTTCTGCTGATGCTGGGGGCGCCGCAGTAGAAACCACACCAGAAGCAGCAACACCAGCAGAAACCACACCGGAAGCAGCTACACCAGCAGCAGCAGCATCAGCAGCTGCAGCGCTCTCGGCGATTGTGTCGCAAGTGGAGTCCTTGGAATCTGCAGCAGTAAGCTGCTCTCTTCAGACACCTTCGGGTGTATGCACATCTGAGGAGGTGCGGCGGGCCACATCGACACTAAAGACCCTTACAAGTTTGCTCTTGCAGATGCTGCAGTGGCGCTCTGTGCCTTCTTCTCTCCTCTCAGCTTCTCACGACATCCTGCTGCGCTCAACGACCCTTTTCCATCAATGGACGCATTCAAATACCCAAAAAACTCCAAAACAAAGGGGCCTCCAAGGGGGCCCCCAACAAGATTTCCAGAGGGGCCCACATAGGGGGCCCCCCCGAGGGGGCGGCTTGACCCAGGGGGCTTCTTTGGAGGGTTCTTGCCGGCAGGGGCCCCCGCCCAGCAGCAACGAACTTCTACTGCTGCAGAACGCGTGGCACATAGCTAGTGGTTATCTTGAAACTCTGCAGCAGTTGCAGCAACAGCAGCAGCAGCAGCAGAAGGTGATGCAGCTGCTGCTGCAGCGCAAAGCTGGCGACTCCACTTTTGCACTAATGCTGGCCGACGATCTGCTGCTGCTGCAGCAATACCGCCGCGACTGCCTTTCGAATCTTGCTACGCGCATTTCGTCTCTGACCGGCAGAACAGCAGAAACGCAGCAAACGCAGCAGCAGCAGGTGCCATGGGATATCGCTCATCTCCAGCGTGCCCATGGTGTGTCTGCTGCAGAGACAGCCGCAGCTGCTGCGGCACTGCTGCAGCAGGGAGTGGCTGCAGCAACGGTGCTTCGGGTGGCATCCTCCTTATTGAGCCCCTTCCAAGGTGCCTGTACACCTGGCGAGTCGCATGCACCATTCTCTTTAGACCGATCTGCTGCAGGGCAAGGTTTAGCTGAAGGTACTGCAAATACAGAGACCAGCAAGATACAGACTGTTTCCACAACGGCAGCAGCTGCAGCGGCACCTCCCACCCGTAATCTCGGCGCAGCAACGCATCTGCTGCTGGCCCGAGCCTTTGCTGAAGAAGGTTGCAGCAGCCGAGCACAGCAGCAACTCGTCATGGCGCTTAGGGGCTCCCAAGAAGGGGGGGGCTCTGCCGCAAGTAATACTATCAACGAGACATCTTCCATCCAGGGGGTACCCAAGCACGGAGAAGAGGCAATAGGAGAGACCCTGCAGCGTGATGCGGTTGCTGCTGCAGTTTCTGTTGCTGCAGCAGCAGTGAAGGATGGGGAGGTGCGTTAACTGCTCCTACAGAGTATTTGCTGCTTCTGCTGCTTCTACTGCACGGTCTTTGCTGCTGCTGCTGCTGCAGAGTCGTTGCTCCTGCTGGAAGCTGCTGCTTGCCTGCTGTCATCTGGTTCCAAGTTAACTGCCGTAGCACCCGACGCTGCGCTTACTGCTACATGCGTCGTTTCCCTTGCTGCTATAAATACCTCTCCACCCCACTTTTGCTGCTGCTGTTACTGCTGCCCTTGCTGCTGCTGCTGCTGCTGCTACTGTTTGTGCGCACTACGTACAGCTGGAGAGGGCCTGCGCTGCTCTGCAGCTACTTCCTGTTTGTGTCTCCCTCCGTTTCTTCCGCACCTTGCTGCCCGTCTCTCTTGAGCTGTCGCGTCGCCTGTTGTTGCATGAGGGCCCATTTGGGGACCCCTTAATTGGCCTGGTAGCGCAACATTTTGCTGCTTCTGCGCTGCTCGCCAGGGAGGCCCTGCAGCAGGGAGAGGGGCTGGAAGCAGCAGCAGCTGCACTGCAGCAGAGCCAAATGGCTATAGCTAGGTGGGCCCTGCTGCCTGTGTTGGGCCCTGCTGTCTCTGCTGCTGCCTGCAAGCTGGTGGACACGGTGTACGTACACCTGAAAAGCTTGCTAACTTCACGCCCCCCTCCGGTGGATCTCTCGCTGCAGCAGCAGCAGCTCCTTGCGGCCGCTATCGAGGCCCTCTTCGCTGGTGGGGCTACGCAGCAGCAACAGGGTCAGGAACTGCTCTCCCTTGCTGCTTTTGCAGCTGCAGATACGAAGATAACGGAAAATAAAGGACAGCAGCATCAACAACAGCAAAAAGGGGGATTAGGAGTAGGAGAGGGGATGAGCCAAGAAGGAGAAACAACAACAGCACAAACGAGAAGAGATACAACAAAAAAACAGAGAGATTCCGCGCGTTGTCTCATTGCTGCTGCTTTTATAGGGCTTGGAAACGCTGCACAATCACTTTTGAGAGAAGCCGAAACAGCCGCAGTAGCTGCAGCAGCAGCACCAGCACCAGGCGCTGCAGAAGCGTTATACACTGAAGCTAAGGATGCAACGGCGGCAGACAGAGCAGCTGCAACTGCTGCTGCAGCACCTAGGCCAGCAGCTACAGGCGCATCAGCAAGCGCACCAACCATCTTCGAGAACGTCACTCCTCAACCACCAGCAGCAGCAGCGGCAGCAGCAACAGCAGCAGCGGTAGCAGCACCAGCGATAGCAGCGACGGCACCAATAACAAAAGTAGCAACAGCCGAAGCAGCAGCAGCAAGAGCAGCAACAGCAGCAACGCCAGAGAGAGCAGCAACAGCAGCAGCAGCAGCAGAAGTAGCAGCACAAGCAGCACGACTAAAAAGCCTTGCACGCTGGCTGCAGTCGTTGGCTGCGGCGTTCACGGGAGAAATGCCATATGAGGTTGTCGTTGCTGCAGGGCAGGTGATGCTTGCAACGTCTCGTTTAGGCGTACTGTCTGAAGAGACAGGATCTGCTGCTCCTGCTAACTCAGCCACGATTGCCTCTCTTCAACAACCCATACAGCGGAAGAGAGTAGCTACAGCAACAGCAGCAGCAGCAACGGCGGCGGCAACGCAGCAGCAGCACCAGAAGCAAAGGCCGACGAGCTGTCAAGACACACCGATGGTAGTAGAGAGGCAGCAGCAACTGCTGTCGCTCCTGCGGCGGCAGCAGCAGAATGGCGATGCAGCAGCTGCGCTGCTTCTGCTGAAGACGCATGTGGATCTTGCTGCAGCAGCAGAAGCAGCACTGGATACTGCAGCTGACAGGGTCGTAGGCAGACAGGCAACGGATGAAAACAAAAGCAAAGACAAAGACGAAAAAAAAGACAAGGATAAGGGGAGAGAAGGCAACATCAACATAGAAAGAGACAGCCTCGCTCACTCTATCAATAGTGCATTGGCTGCCAGGCCCAGCATGGACTGCTTCTACTTCGCTGCTGCTGCTGCTGCTGCTGCAGCAAATCCGGCTGCTGCGCTTGAGTGAGCTGCTGCTGCTGCCTATCGTCCTTTCACGTGTTTACTGTCTGTCTGAGGGGAAGTTGAGTCTAGAGATGAGCAAAGACAGAGAAGGATACAGACTTTGCGTCTCCGCCTCGGTCTCTAGGCCTCTTTCTGTTTTGTCTCTCTTTTCCCCCCTCTCTCTATTTCTCTTTGTATATCTTCTCCGTTTCTGTCTTTATTTCTGTGTAGATATCTTTGGTTCTTTTCCTTCTCCGTGCAGCTATCTGCATCTGTACACAGTAACTCTATTAAATAGGCAGTGCACGCGCTACTGAAAGCATTACATACATAAATAAATATGTGTATATATACATGTGTATACATATATATATATATATATGAATCCATATATATATATATATATATGTAGTGCGCATGTGCGTGCGTATGCATATTTATGCACTATATATATATATATATATAGTGCATGCATTATGCGAATGCACCCTATTCAGTACATATATATATATATATATATGCATGTGCATATAACTATATGTGCATCTACCTCTACATAAACATAAATAATTAAATATGCATGTACACATTTCCATATATATATCTATATCTATATATATATATATATATATATATATATAATATATGCATTTTGGCTGGGGTGTTCAGGGTTGCTGCGCTGCAAGAGAAGTTCAGCGGCAGCCGCTGGGTGAAGACCTACAACGCTGCCATCAAGGCTTCTGTTGCTGCTGTCTCCTCTATCTTTCCTGGAGGCCTAATAGCTCCTTTTTCACGTGCTTCTCGCGCTGTCTCTTCTGTCTCTCCTGCCCCCCTCGCTGCCTCCCCCTCTGTCTCTATCTGTGCTGCTGCTCCTGCTGCTGCTCCTGCTGCTCCTCCTGCTGCTGCTCCTGCTGCTGCTTCTGGCGTCCTAAAAGAGGATCCTGTTGCTGCACTGCAGCGCGTGTCCTCAGCAGCACTTGAGGTGTACACACAGCTGCGCTCGAAGGGCCCCCTTCCCAACTACAACACCTTCCTCTTGACTGCTCGCCTTCTTTCAGCATTCACGGCAGCTGTTGTTGCTGCTGCTCCTGTTGCTACAGCTTCTGCTGCTGCTCATCATGAACTCCGCAGGGATACTACCGGCTTGGACAACACCATTTTGCTGCATTCAGCAAGAGATGCTGCAGCAGCGGCATATTCCCTCTCAAGCGATTACGAAGACTCGCTGCTGAGGGGCCCTCTCCGCGCGAGAGCCCTTTACAGAGCCCGCGTACAGCAGCGGCAGCAGCAACAGCGGCAACAGCAGCAGCAGCAAAAACAGCAGCAGCAGCAGCAGCAGCCAGAGGTACGGTATTTGCTAGATGAGGTGCTGCAGCAGTACACCCCTTGGGTCCACGGCGAGTCGATGAGGGTTTTGCTGCTGCAGAATGAATTCCAAGGCGCTCTTCTTCTCTTTGATTGCCTCCTCACCTTGAGGCAACGCCTGCGCCACGAACTCCATACACTGCAGCAGCAGCAGCAGCCACAGCAGCAACAACAGCAGCAGCAACAGCATTGGCAGCGGCAGCAGCTACAGCAACAGCAGCAGCAGCAGGACCTACTGCCGGATCTGCCGCCTGGGGTGTTGGATTTGGCTTTGCGGGCGTTGGAAGGCGCGAGACTAACGGGAGTGTCTCCTTCGTGGGCCTCAATTGCCCCCCTGTTTTCTTCTTCTTTTCCTTCTTCTTCTTTTTCTTCTTCTTCTTTTTCTTCTTCTTCTTCTTCTTCTTCTTCTTCTTCTTCTTCTTCTTCTTCTTCTTCTTCTTCTTCTTCTTTTTCTTCTTCTTCTTCTATTGCATCTGTTTTTTCTGCGACTCCTCTGTCTCCTTGCCCCCCTGCTTCCTCTCTGTCTCCTTCTCCTGTCTCCGCCTCCTCGCCTCGATGGAAACTGAGAAGACAGCTGGCGGGCTTGTCAAGGGGAAGGCTTCGTGCAGCAGAACAGCTCGAGAGATATCTGCAGACGCGAGAACAAACGAATTTACATTTGTATATCCCCCACAAACCGCAACTCGATGCCCAGGTATGCTGCTGTAACAGCAACAAGGGGCCCCCAACTCAGTTAGCCCCGGAAAGCAGGTTCCCCCTGCGGCACACTCCCCCTTTCGGATGCCCCATGCGGTTCGTGTGGGGCCCATGCTCAGCAGGATACACAACGTAGCAAAGCATCAAAGGGGATCCTCTTCGTACCGGAAACGACTTTGCACTCTTCCGTCACTTGCGACAGCGACAATAGCAGATATGCAGCAGCAGCAGCAACACTAACAGCATTAGCTTGGTTGCTGGTGTGTTGCTGAGTATCTCCGGCCTCTCTTGAAGTTCTGTTTTCCTTTCTGTGTGGTGCAGCTTCCAGACCAAAGCACCGCTGCAGCAAATGCAAAGGCTCGGCTGGTAGGCCATTCATACAAGGGGTATTAGGGGAATAAGGGAAGGAGAGGGGGCCCCGAGGATTTACTCAGCAAGCACCGCAATGAGGAGCCCCTTGCTATTTACCGGGTCCCCTTATTGTTTGCGGGGGCCCCCTTGAAACCCCTGAGGGCGCCTGGGGGCCTTTAGCGGATTAGAAATTGGCGTGTGTTGGTGCTTGCATTTCTGTGCGTGTACATGCCGTGGGCGCGTGCGTTTTGCTTTGCTCTGTTGTGGGGTTGCACTGCGGCAGATGGAGGCGGAGTCTGTAGAAGAATGGAGCAGAGAACTGGCAAACTTAAGGAAAGAACAGAGAGAAGGCCAAACGCGAATTTGGGTAGGCAGGGTTAAGGTGTACACACACCTTTATGCTACATATCTGGTGGCACGTGCGCAGCGACTGATTGACTCTCTTATTGTTCTGCTTGCTTCCTTGCCAGATACTCGTGTTTGTTGTGCTGGTTTGTGAATTCGTCGTCTTGCTATTCAATTGTCTTGGGTATTTCTTCGTTCGTTTGTTCATTCGTTGGTGGTCTTGCTCGTTTGTCTGAAACTCTCTGTGCAGTTGGGGTGTTAGGGGTTTGTTCTGTTTTGCTTGCTTCATTTCTTTGCTTGCCTGTTTGTTTGCTTTTCTTCGTTGTACACCCAGTTGAGGTGACCCTGCAGCGGCAGGTCCTATAGCTCAGTTGGTTAGAGCATTCGGCTAATAACCGAAAGGTCGCCGGTTCGAGACCGGTTGGGACCATTGATTTACATTATACATCTGTGATTATATATATATATATATATATATATATATACATATATGTAAATCATGTTGCAGCATGCAGCTTCGTCCAGCTTCTTGTTGTATGCTTTCCCTCATAAAATGAATGACTGTGTTGCTTCATGCGGCGCCACTGCAGAGGGCAGACGAAGAACAAATAATTAAAAAACTCGTCAGCAAATTCGGAGGGGTCGCCGCCATACAGACACTTCACAAGCAAGCCCAGCAGCAGCAGCAGCAACAGCAGCAGCAGGAGCAGCAGAGGTGCCAGCCGTACCAGAAACTGCAACAGCACGGAACAAAGAGAGCGCAGCAGCAACAGCAGCAACATGAACGGCAGCAGCTCCACAAGATACGGCAGCAGCAGCAGCAGCAGCAGCACCCTCCTGAGCCGTCGCCGCCTCAGCAGCAACAGAAGCAAAACCAGGAGGAGGAAAAACTCGTGCGTATGCCTTCGCCTTTACATTTTTGTGAATCGGATATGGCTGCGGTGCTGCTGCTACCGCCTCTCCTCTGGTCTTCTGCCTTGGAGACTGAAATGGCGCGAGGGGCCCCACGTGAAGTCCAGTCCATTTTGGAGCTCCTCTTCAAAGTAAATGCTGCTGCGGCTGCTCGTTCTGCTGCTAGTGTTGCTTCTGCTGTTTCTCTTTCTGGTGTTTATGCTGGTGGTGCTGTTGATGTTGCTGCTGCTTCTCTTGCTGCTCTTGTTGCTAATGCTGCTGCCAGTGCTCTTTCTGCTGCTAGTCCTGCTGCCGCTGCTGCTGCTGTTAGTAGCATCGGAGGCTCCGCTGTTGCCTTTGCTGCTGCTGCTTTTTCTGCTGTTGTTTTGGATCCGGTAGGGTCGAAAAGGACTGGCGCTGCAGCGAGAAGCACCAACAGCCTGTGCCTTTTCTTGGTTCGGTGCTAGCTCCTTTCTGAATGGTTTTGCTGCATACAGCTGCACTCTCCCGAAGCAGCAGCTGCAGCAGCAGCTGGTGCTGCTGGTTCTGCAGACGCTCATGGTGCTGCCGCTTCTAATGGGCTGCGTATGCATGCGCACGTGCGTTGTTCTGTGGGTCAGACGGCATCGCTTGACTCGTCTTTATCTCGGCAGGTACTGCGTCCTTTCCCTGTTGCGTTTTCTCTTCTTTTGTTCTTCGGCCGCTCGCGGTTCGCCAGCGCGGCTGTGGATTTGTTTTCATTTTGGTTGGCTCTAACCAAAGCAGAGACTACAGGTGTACATACACCCAAGTATGTTGCACCCACCGTCGCGCATGCAGCCAGACTTCTGGAGGTTGCTGTCCGAGCCACTGCTGCAGCAGGTAAGCCCCCGAAGCCCCAACCTCTTCTCCTAAAGCTACAGCTAGCATCGATACTGACTTTACCCTAAGTATACTGAGAGGAGCAACGCCTGGTGGCTTTTCCTTGTGTGTAGCAGTAGAAAGGTAGCGAGAAAAGGGGAGGCCGATTTTAATGCATTAAGTACAACTTGGTTACAGTGATATCTTTAAAACGGCGAGTGAAAATGGCATTGTCGAGGTGTATGTACAGCTATACAATGAGGCACTTTGTCAGGTGTATACGCAGCTATTTACTGCCAGTGGCGTTGTAGCTTGTAAAGGAAAAAGGTATTATGCGTTGTTGCTTATATGCAGGTCGATGGGAGTTGTCTCTGGAGGCCGTTGAGGCATTCCTGCGCAGTCGTAAATGGCTCATTTCTGAGGTGTATGCACACCCAACCGACGGAGGTGCTCGCCGTTTGCGTCTTCACTTCTTTCATGCTTCTCTGTCTCGCGCTCTGCGTCTTCTGGCCTGCCAGTTAGCTAGCCACTCCTTAGCAGCTAGCGGCGAGCTGCAGCAGGTACAAGAAGACTTCGCGAGGAAATGCGCCGCCTGGTGTGGCGGATGTGGGGCCCCACAGTGGTCTGAACAGACACCCCAGGCCCGGTCTCTTAATGCCTTGCTTGAGGAGGAGACAGCCTTTGCTTCTCTTAAACGGGAGTTGAACAAATTCCGCCGAGGCCGCCTTACGCACTTCATTGCGCAGGACTCACCAGGCGTGCAGATAGCTCACGCGACACAGCAAACTGCTTCTAAGAGATAGAGGCATGCACATAAATTCAGGGGCCCTGCAGCACCAACAACCGACCACCGGAAATGAGGGTTTGTTGGTTGGATTTACCCCATTTAGTACTGCAGCGGAGGACTCCGCGGGAATCCCTTTGGATAATGACGGCCTCTTTTCTTTTTAATTTGCACAGCTCCCGTGCACACATTTTTTGCACGTTCCGCTTATTCCTCCACCAATTTCATCTCTTCACGCACGCCTACCCACGCTTATATATACAAAACGCACATGTCACTTGGACAAATGCACACACGCACATACACACATACACATACACATACGCATACACATACACACACATACACACACACACACACTCCACTCTCCAACACACAGGCTTCTGAACGTCCCATGATCAACATTCCCTTCCTCTATCCTCAATAGGCCTTCACACTTGCGCATTCCGACCGACAGGA